TAACGAGCCCCAACTGCATAATTAATCTTGCATCCTGAAAAGACTCACAGAAGACTGCTGCTGAGTCACAACACTATTGTATGGATGCTCTTAACAATAAATCGGATTTAAGCTCAGAATGTCCCAAAGGTGCTTTTTAAAAGAGGCAATTGGACTTTCTAGTTTTTCTCTGAAGACTTTTTTCTTCTGATCCAAGAAGCTTCTTCAGCTCTGACTTCCCCACCATCCAATTAAGAGCTGAAAAGGCTTCTTGGATGAGAAGCAAAAAGTCTTCAAAGAAAAACAAGAAAGTCCAGTTGCCTCTTGAAAAAAGCACCTTTGGGACATTCTGAGCTTAAATCCGACTTATTGTAAGAGCATCCATACAATAGTGTTGTGACTCAGCAGCAGTCTTCTGTGAGTCTTTTCAGGATGCAAGATTAATTATGCAGCTGGGGCTCGTTAGGGGCGTAAAAAGACGGATGGTGCCACGCCCTGGTTTCAGGAGTCAACGTTCCTTGGTTCGTTCAACATTGATTGATCATCAGGTTTATGTAAGATACACTTGGATAAGTGCTTTGTTTTCTGTAACCCTGATTCAAGAAGACACTTGGAGAAGTGCATTGCTTGTAAGAGTTTTTGTTTGCTATTCTGTTATCTAGTCTGAGACTTTATTTATGTTATTTTTGGGCTCGCAGCCAGTTTGAGCCAAGAACTGATAAAGAGAGTTCCTTTTAAGTTGTTTGCCTGTCGTCTGTTTAACAAGCAGAGAAGGGGGGACAGAACAGTCTAGTAAAAGTACCTTTCTCTAATCAAATGAAGTTGGGGTTGTTCTTTTTGGATTTTGAATGAGGCAGGCCTGATATTAAGCAAGATCTCACTTTGCAACCATCCTGGAGTTAAAAGCTACTGTTGGGATTGCATCAACATGTCTAACCCTTGCAGCAACCAGAAGGACATGGGAGCTACGGGATCCTCTCCTCCCTTGGAAACTGAGTGGATGGCTGAACTGAATCTTGAGGACAAGTCAATCTGACCCAAATGGTTGCTGGGAGTGAGACAAATGAATGATCTTGAGGAGATCCTGGCAGGAGTTACTACCACCCCAGTGGTAGGTTATGACTGGTATGTCCTGGCACGGGCGTACCGGTGCCTGCTGGGAGCACCAAGTACTGTTGCAGTACAATGCTCTGGAGGACCCACATGCCCATCCGTGCTCCTTACCAGTATTTGAGGTTTCCAGGGCTTACGCGCATGGAGTGTACACCGCTTGCACACGTTCATGTGGTGGACGCCCAGCCCCGTTGCACCGTAACAGTTGCAATGGGATCTGGAACCCACCACTGTACCACCTGGTGCCAGCCACCAGAGGTTGCCTGGCAGGAAGCCAAAAAAGAGAATCTTATGATGTCCCACACTTTACAACTTCTACAAGAGACTTGGGGTAATTGAAGAAAGTCGCACCAAAAGCCAAGCAGGTGGAGGGGGAAGTGGACACCCTGGCAAACCCCAAATTGGCCCTGGGAGAGGTTCCAGTAACTAGGCAGGCTGGAGGAGCTCCAGCAGCAGCAGCAGCTCAGGCACACCCAAGGGAAAGGGTAGCTCCACGAAGGCATTGAATTCCAAAAATTCCTCCTCTGGGAATCAAGTGTAGAGGTGATCCCAAAGCACTGGGATTTCTTTTGGCTCAAGTTTGGAATTACATGCAGGAATATGGGGAGGATTTCCCATCAGAGGCTGCCAAAGTGAGAAGTGTTACTATGGTGCTGGAAGGCACCGCAGCTAACTGGATGGTGGCTCTTCATAACGATGATTTCCCCCCCCCCCAGCTGAGGGATTACAATGGGTCTATGACGGCCCTGAGGGCAGGCTTTGACAATCCCCTCGCAAATCGGAAGGCAAGAACGAGAATGAAAACTTTAACTCAGGGTCGGAGCAGAATACACTCAGGAATTTCGTGAGCTAGCTGTGCACATGAGGGAGTGGTCCCAGGAGGCATTGATGGACAACTACAAAGATATCCTTAATGACGTTGTGT